GGAGGATGGAGGGGTCTCATCCCCTGCTGCCACCCCTCCTGGGGTCTCGGGGGCTGCTCTGCCCTCCCTGCACCTTCCCCCATGGTCGGTGCCATCCCTCAGACCCCCGGGACGTGTCCGTCTCCCCGGGCTGGGCCGTGGCAGCTCCCGCTGCTGGCTGCAGCCAGGGAAAAAGGGAAAGCACCGACAAAGTGCTCCCCTGCCCCTCCCTCCAGCCTCCCTCCAGATGCTGTAAATTTTCATTAGTATGCTGTAATTTAATGATCGGTTCCCAAGAGAAAATTATTCTTCAATTTACCAAAACTTCCCTGTTAATTTAAGCATTATAGTGGGGAGCTGGTGCTGAGCCCATCCTGCTGCCCCTCCCACCAGGCAGGGACAGGTGAGAAGGACAATTCCAACTAAAATCCCTCGGAAATCTCCCATCCAGGACTGCAAACGTGTTCCTGGGAGCATGGAAAGGCATTTCCTCTTAAAACAAGAGTTTATTTTGAACCTGGCAAAGTGCAGTTCACTGCAGGTTGGTGCTGGCAGACTGGGAGAGCAGAACGTGCTGGGCTGGCTGGGAATGCGCCAGAGGAGCCATCGGTGCCCACCCAGGGGCAGCTGCCACCAAACCCTCGGGCCTTTTAAAGCACCAGTGGGCCCTGGAGCATCCTTGGCAGAGCTCCCCACCCGGGCAAACCCTCCCCAGATGGAGGGATCTCTCCATGGGCGTGGGAGAGGATGAGGCCATGGGAGGACGCCACATTTGAGCTCCCTGGAGCTGATGGAGGTGAGGGCTTGGCCATGGGGCTGCCCAGCACTGCTGCAGCCCCAAAGGAGACCCCAGCACCCTCCAGCCCCACTGCACCTCCTGACCCCCCAGCCAGCGCTGCCCCAGACCTGGCTAAATTAGAAGGGAAATTTATTTCCTGTTTAAAAACAAAACAAGGGAGCAAAGTCAGTGTTAAATATAGAGATATGATATGTAAATGAATCTGACAACTGAGTGAATAAAAAATGAAGGTTTAAATTATTGAAGGGTGGGAGGAGATGGCGCATGCAAATAGCGTTAATGTGGAAAGAGGCAGTGCTCTGAACGGGGAAAGGAGGTTTTGAAACATAATTATTTCTTTTAAGGAAAGGGCTACACATAAAAGCCAACAGAGCGGGTGTGTGTTTGTCTCAAAGCCTTTTCTCTCTTGCCTCTCCCTTTATCCTTCTGGCTTTTTTTTCCGCCTGCAATGCAAAGAGAGAAATCAAAGGCTGTTGCATTTTTTTGGGCTTTAATTAAAATAAGATAAATTAAGTTGTAGTTGCTCACAAGAACAAGTGAGTCCCGGGGATGGCTGATGACAAGCTGCTGCTGAGAGGACAGGAGCAGGTGCTGGGTAATTGATTGGTGGGGACAGGGCTCTGTGGCAGTCACAGCCCCCCCTGGGATGGGTGGGGACACCCAGGACTCTGCAGGGCTTGGCTCCCATGCAGAAACACCCACCCGAGGGTGCCAGCCTGCCAGGAGGGCTCCAGTGCAGCTCCCTGGGCACGCACTGGGCTGGGCTTTGCTGCTGCTCCTCCCTGCGCTGCAGAGCCCTGGGGCTGGCTGGGGGAGCATTCACAATTCAGCATTGAAAACTCACGGGTGATTTTTATCACCGACAAGGGATTCTGGTGGTCAATCTGCAGGCACAGAAAGTGTCCCCATCACCTTCCTCACGGCTGTATTCCTGCCTCCCTGACCCTCTCCAGAAGTGAGGGCAGGTTATGGGTTCCCTTTCCCTAACTCACAATGTGATGGCTTGGGACGACTTGTTAAAGCTATAGATCTAAATGTCATTTGTTAGAACAGTGCCTCCCTGGGGATTCTTACCCTGCATTCATTATTTGTGTGTGCTGACAGCGAGCTCTGCTGTGTCTAATCTGTCTCTCTGGCTGTTTACACAGCCCTCACTGTGGCAGCACCTGAGTGTCTCCCTTGGCTAAAAACGATGCTTTGCTTCCCACTCCCTGTGTGCCCTGCCCAGCCACGGGGGCTGTATGGAAGGGTGGGACAGATTTTCCTGTTCTCTGTCTGTGTCCTTGCCCAGGCCAGCCCAGGGGTTTGTGCCTCCTGCATGAACTCACTAAAGCAATATTTCCCCCCAGACAGCTTTTGCATCGATGAAATAAGGGGGAAAGGGAATTCCCCCATGGATCCCCCCTCATTTTCTCTGCCTGCCTGGCAGATGCCATTCGTGCCCCTTGTCAGGCCGGGTCCCTGGGGTGACACAGAGCCAGCTCCTGTCCCAGCCCCTCTGCAGGGCTCAGGCGCTCTCCCTGCGGTCCCTCTCGGCTCCGGGGCTCCCGGTGCATCCCGGTCCATCCCGGTGCGGTGCTTCCCTCCCCTCCTGGCCGTGTCTCCATGGCGACCGCAGCGCTCTCCTGCCGCAGAGCATCCTCGGCTCGCCGCTTCCAGCGCTGCGTTTGTGCTCGCAGCCTTTGTCTCCCGCCCGGCGCTGGCAGCCGGCCAGCCCAGGCATCCATTTCAAAGCAGCCTTTGTTTTATCGGTGCAGTAGCTGCTCAGAAATCCGTGGCATCCAATCCGGGCGGGAACGCGGCGTTTCCTCCCCCAGCGGGGCCGGTGCGGGCACAGCGCCGGGCAGAGGGCAGCAGGACTGGCAGAGCCAGCGAGGACAGGCGGTTCCCCCCTGTCCCCCTCCCCAGGCACGGCTGGCATCCCTTGCACGGTCGGATGTGCCATTTTCAGCACAGCCCTGTCCTGGAGGCTCGGGCAGCCGGACCTGCTGAACTGAGACAGGCGTGAAGATTCCAGTCCCTGGCAGAGGAAAGTGCTGGAGTGAGCTCCAGCCCAGAGCTGGGATCCTGGCCAGCTTGCTGCCCGTCTCCCGTGTGACTGCCAGCTGTGCCAGAGGCAGGGCAGGGCCGGCCTGCTGCGCAGTGCAATCCATTAATTGTAATATCCATCCTGGCAGGGAGTTCAAGGGAAGGTGTTACACACCTGCTCAGGTGTGCAGGGATGGATGCACAGGTATGTGCATGCATCCACAGGTGTATTATTGAGGGTTTGTGGGGCCCTGGTTTGCAGGCACTCAGGTCCCTGTGGATCTTCCCCAGGGCACAGGGAGGAAGCCAGGAGGGGACACAAATGGGGGCTGTGAAGTGTCATTGCCGAGGTGCTGGTGCTCCCCAGGGCATCCCTACAACCCTCAGAGCATGGAGTGAGGCAGGAGGGAAATGAGAGGAAAATGGGAGAACAGGGAATACTTTGTTAAGGGCAGAAGCAGCAGCTGTGTGCCAGCCTTGCCCAGAACAAAAGTCCCCAGGAGAAGCTGTGCCCTGAAACAGGAGTCTGGGAGGGCAGCAGGAGCTGGGCAGCCCATCCTGGGCAGCAGCTGAGGGCAGTTTATCCAGTCAATGTGTCCTGTCCTGCTGGGACTGGAACCCCCTCAGCCTTGGGCCACATCACTCAGCCTGAACGTGCCCAGCAGGGCTGCAGCTGGAGTGGGCACCCAGAGGAGCTGATCTCCAAAGAATCTCTGGAGGGACCTCTCATAGTGCTGAACCTCAGACACTCTCCTCAGCGATTCACTGCATGGTTGTGGTGAGATGTAAACACTGCTGTGCCTGCAACTGGGAGTGCTGGGAGCACTGGGAGTGCTGGGAGCACTGGGAGAATCAGGAGCTCAGGATTTCAGGGTCCCACAGACAGAGCAGGGCAGGTGCCAGCTGCGGCCCAGGCACGGCAGAGGCTGGAGGAGCCACCCTGGCAGCACTGCCATGACTTTGCATGAGGACACTTCCCCACCTGGAGACAGTCCCAGGAGGTAAAGAGTGCCAGAGCTCTTGCTGTGGTCTGTGGTGCTGCTCGATAAAGTGTGTCCTGGCCCCATTTTATTCTCCATAATTAGGAAACTCAGCAGACTGATCGCTCTCTGAAGCCTGAACCAGAGCATATTGCTGGCACAAAAAGAGCTGGTCTGCGACAGAGCAGGGATTGTTTGTGCCGTTTCAGTGAGAAGTGCAAGGAAACAGGTGAAATCTGTTAATGTGGCTCCGTGCTGAGAGAGGGCAGGTGTGAGTGAGGCGATTGATGGGCATTGATCAGGAAGGGCTCGGTGTGGGACAGGGCACAGAGCAGGGGGTGCAGCCCGGGGCAGGTGGGCTCTGATCTCTGCCCGGCCCCAGTCCCTGCCCGGCCCCGCCGAACCGGCCCCTGCCGGGCTCCGGGCGCTCCCGCTCCTCTCCCCGGGCTCTGGCGCTTCCTCTGGAGAAGCCGCTCCCGTCTCTCTCACCGATTCACCAGCCGAGATCAGTCCCGGAGGATGGGTGAGCTCTGCCGTGGGTGTAGCTGGGCTGAGGGCAGGGGAAGCCGTTTCCTCTGTGAACATCATCAGTGTTTGCATGAGCCATCACAAACAGGAGGGGAAACACTTCTCCCTGCATGCATCATCTCTGTCTTCTGGCTGGTGGTTTGTACCTCTGTGGGCTCTCCAAAAATGCCCCACTATTTTTTGAAATTGTGTTTTTGATTAGCAGAAACCTAGAAATGAGCTAGAAAGAGCCGTGGCTGTGGAAGGGAGTCCAGCACGTGCCGAGCCAGCAGAATTCACGTGGGCAAATTGGCTGAGCCACCCACAGGGCAGGTGATGCTCCAGGGCTGGACCCACTGCTGTGGCAGCACCTCCAGGGGCACCTTTGGGGCTGGGGACACCCCAGCAGCCCCACGAGAGGTTTACCCCTCACTGGCACCTGGGCAGTGCAGGGCATGGGGACCTGGGCAGGGCTGCAGTGAGCCCAGCACTGAGATTCCCTTGGAAGTGCAATGCAGCCCTGGTAAATAAATAAAGATTGGATCTTGTCAGTCTCTCGTACTGCACCACTCCCGAGCAGGGGACGCGGGGCTGCCGTAATTGGCTGGATGCAGAGCGAAATCCAGGCTCAGCGATTCCATTTTGCAGTTGGCAGCCTGCCCACAGGCAGATCAGGGAATGCAAGTTGGGCTGGCTTTAAAACACAGGGAAATCCTTCATCTTTGATAATTTTTTTGCTGATTTAAAGGGCAGGATTAAATCCTCATTTAATAACCCCAAGTGCCTGCTCTGCCCTGCTCTGAGTGCTGCCAAGGCATGGGCCTGGAGGGAAGGCAGGGAATGTTCTCCAGGGCACAGACCCCTTGGCTGTTTGCTGCTGCTGCAGCCAGGGAAACAGACCCCTCTGGGCAAGCCCCAGCCTCAGCACGGGGTGCTGCTCCTCCTTTCCAGGTCTGCTTCCAGCTGCTTCCAGGGCTGGTTGGAAGGCAAGCCCAGCACTTTCTGCTACCGACTTCCAGTTATGTAATTTGTGGGTTTTTCTCCTAATTAAGGATCCTCAGAGCCCCAGATGTTCGCTGTAGCACACAGCCCAGCTGACTGCGCTGACAGGCTCTGGGGCAGGGATTGTTTCATCAGGAAGTGCTGCCTGTTCAGTACCTTTATGTTGCCACCTCTTGCCGTCGCCTGGGCTATTTTTAAATCCTTAAAGAAAGCGTCTACAGTGGAGAAGAAAGGAGCCTCCTTGCAGAGGAACACAGAGCCACCACACTGACGAGGAAACTGTTTTCCCTTGTCTGTCAAATCAGCTCATTTAGATTATTTAAGTCGAGAGCAATTTTGCAAACAATCTGTTTTGCCGGGGACAGCGGCTCCGCTCGGTGTGACGATGCTGAATGGAGCGAGCGGCTGCGAGTTATTGATGGCAAATTCTCCACGTCCCCAGGCCCGAGCTCCTCCTGAGACAGCCCCAGCTCTGCTTTCCCCAGACATGAGGCAGAAAGCATTTTCTAACATGTCGGCTCCCTTTGCCTTGAGAGCGAACTGCAGCTGACGGGGAAGGGTGGAGGGGATGGGAACGCTGAAATGGCGCCAGCTCCTCTTTAACTGTTTTCAGCCAGTGCATTTCCCTGCCTGCTGCAGTTGGTTCCCTTGCTCTGATGATATGAAAATCCTAATTAAGCAGCGAATGGGGAGGTGTGCCAGGCTGGCAGGGTGCAGGTGGTGGCTGCTGTTGCTGGGAGAGGGTATTTGGGGATCAGTGCCCAGGAGGGCATGTTTGCCCAGTGGTGAAAGTGTAACTGCACGGGTCCAGCCCTGAGCGCAGGCCTGCTGTTTGCCCTTGAGGAGCTGCTTCCATGATTCCTGGTTTCTGATGCCATGTGTGAGCAGAGTGCTGCAGAGCCGTGCAAACCCATGCAGGGCAGGACAGCAGTGCCAGCGTGAGGAGGGAGCATCGCAGGGACACGAGCTGGTTCCTCCCTGCACACGCTGCCCAGAGTGCTCCTTCCCACCCAGGAGCACAGCGGTCCTGGGGCAGGGGGCCCATGAGGAAGAGAAGCCCTGACTTTCCACAGATGGGAAGATTACACAGATTTATCTACCCTTCAGCTGGAAGCAGCTCCAAAGCCAGGTGGTTATCAACATCATTTTAAGCACAGAGGTGTTTTGCTGTCCCTTTGCTGGAAGAATCAGAATTTGAGTCCTTGGCAAAGAAGTCCAGAGGTCCAAGCCTCAGAGAGCACCAAGGGACAAAGAATGAACCAAAGAACTGTGGTAAGCAGGAGAGAAGGTCCTCCAGCACCCCAGTTCCCAAATAACTCCACGCTCAGCACATATTAAGGCTAAGGCCAGGAGTGGTTAACACCTGAGTGCTGCTGCCAGCCAGCACCCACTACCCCTGCTTTGGATGATGGGCTGCTGCCTGGCTGAAGCTCAATCTGCTGCTCCTTCTAGAAGAAAACATTCTTCCTATTTGAAGATTCCTGAATTTCCCTAGTCCTTCTAGGAATTCACCAGTGTGGATTTCACACATGTCAGAACTCAGCTGAGCAAAGTGCTGCTTGTGAGGGGTAAGATCGTGAGGTGATGCAAGGAGGAGGTGATGGGGTCAGTGGTGGAGGGGTGGTTCCTGCAGAGGCTTTGCTGACGGTGTGGACCCAGCTGCAGCTCTTGCATGCAGAAAGAAAGGCACTGCTGCAGCGGTCTAGTTGCTAGGAACACGTGCATAAATAACACCAGAGAACAATCTAAAATAATAAAGCAAGCTCCAGACCTTGACTATGAATTTTATTGACAGTGGCACAATACAGTTAACAAACTGACATAACAGGAGTACATAATGAATTCATCAGCCTTCCCAACTGAGGACAGACTTAACAGCAGCCCTCCTACACCACGTGTAGTGCCTCCAAAGAGACATGAAACAGGGCTGCTGTGAATGGAGCAGCGAGAGAGAGCTGAGTCACACTTCAGGAAATAATGGCTTTCAGTTACACACAATTACATGACAGTCCAAACTTTTTCATATGAAGAAAAATAAACAAGACCAAATTAACTTACAAGTTGTTACGAGGCACCGAGGAACTGATTTCAAACTGCCACTTTACGGCTGTGCCTGTTCAGCTCACAGCGATGCACTCTGCATTGCTGAGCCTCTAAGGACAAAAATACATTCACTGACCACTCTCATTGCCATAAACCTTGCCTCTCATACTGGAGGATCTTCTTCAGCTGGAAATCACTGTGCTTCGCTCATGCTGGCAGAAGGACAGGGGATGCTGCAGCAGATTTCCTGGGACAATGGCTCCTGCGCCCAGGGCACCCGTTTGTCTCACAGTGGAATCAAACAGCATTCCTTTTCTCACCAGCATTGGTAAAAACAGCAAAGGCCAAAAACTGGGCTGGAAAATGCTGGTGCCAATGTGCAGCTGGGGTCAGGAGAGAGCAAGAACTTCCCCATGGCAACAAAACCTTGATGGGAGTGTTTGTCAGCTGCAGAAGCATTTACTGGGAATTACTCGGTCCACTCTCGGTTTTGTGTGTTCCTGACATTACCGCTCCCAATTCCAACCCATTATCAGTCCTTTGACTGGTTTGATGTTACTAATTCCTGTGATTTGTTATTGAAGCCTAGTCCAGTAACAGAGTGTGGATCACGTACTCCTCACTCCTAATTTCCTGTATTTGAAGTATCTCTGTGTGTTTTGGATTAAGCTCCATGTTCACATATATCGATCTCTCAACAAGTTGGCCAGTGCTGGGACTCTTCTATTCCCTCCCTCAACCCAACAGTCAGTGGAAGGTTTAGAGAAATGTCTGCGTGGTTATTTAGACATTAACTCCTTTTATGTGCCAGTAATTGATGCCCCAAGCTCGGCATAGAGCTGGCACAGCAGCAGCACCCTGGGGTAGCTGCCCCACACAGGGAAACACACATGGAGATGGATGTTCTGCCCATCCGTGCCTTGTCCTGCATCGCCTGGGGAACCACTGTGTTCTGCTGAGAGTGCCTGGAATTCCTGTGTGTCACTGGGATAAATAAAGGCTGCATCCACGTGTGGGACCTCATTGCTCCCCAAAATCCCCAGCCAGGAGGACATAGTGAGGTGGGGCTCATCTCCTCTGCCATGCTGCAGAGGGAGGACAAGAGGATGCGGCCTTAAGCTGAGACACGGGAGGCTCAGATTAGACATTAGAAATTGATTTTTCACATTTCAGGTGCTCAGGCTTTGGAAGGGCTGCCCAGGGAGGTGGTGGAGACCCCATCCCTGGGAGTGTTTGAGAGGTGTCTGATCTGGCACTGGGTGATGCTGTTTTGGGGTTTAGGGGTTACGGTGGCATTGCTGCTGAAGTAAAGATCTCCTCCAGCCTTGATCACAGAATCTCCTGAGCTGGAAGGGACCGTCAGGCATCACCCAGCCCAGCTCTTGGCTGTGCAGAGGACACCCCAACAATCCCCCCTGAGCATCCCTGGCCAAAGGCTCCCGGAGCTCCGGCAG